TTCCCCCTTATCTCACAAGCTCGAGGCGGGTCTTACCAACACACTTGCTCCGTCCGCCTCAGCGCGCGTCGTACGTCCGCATCGCAATAGACGCTGTCGTCATCTGCGATGGGGAAGGTCGGTAGGGAGATGAGACGATTGGAGGTGCGTCACCGTACGTGATGAACACGGGCAAGATCCCGCGTTCCCGGTCATCCGGACCAACACCGAATCCATGCAACATTCGTCGCAACTCTTCTCTCTTGAAAGTGGGTGCGTAGGGGGAGGATGACGAAATCTAAGCTTTCTCCCCTTGGCGGGGGCGTCGACTGTCCGCACGGACGCAGGCGGTTGACGTCACCGGTACGTAGACGAGAAGCTCTAAAAGGCGATGACTGTTAGTTCAAAAGGAAGGCGATCAAAAAGAGAGGAAGAGAGAGAGAGTTACACCAAGACCACGCGAGAGCGCGGGAAAGGTCACGGAGGGGAGGGGAACAACCGGATCAACACACTTAAGCAGACGGTCCCCCAGTTCAGTTTTCCCCTTCCCCACCCGAACAAGTACATACACACATACATGCATGCAATCAACAAGTTGACAGGACATCTAATCATCCATGGACCTTCGACGTCACTCATGCGCATAACCAGCTCCCATCACTCGGGGCTTCACACACACGATAGGCAGAGACAAAGCAGCAATTGAGATAAAAGCGAGTTCTTGTTGTACACAAAAATTTCAATTAACTGCTGCCCCCAGGCGCAGCCTTCAAAACTTCCCAAGACCACCGACCACCATAGCCACAAGGCCCTGCCGCGGCCGGCGTCCAATCCCCACCACTGCTCGGTCCCTCCGACTGCTTCGCCCCGAGACTGCTGCGGGGTCCACCCCACGTCGTCACTCCGCCCGTCCTTGGGCTCGTCAAGCCTGTTCGGCGCCGCGAACTCTCGCGCATAGCTCGCGCAGCATTGCAGCCGAGATCAAAGACGAGGAGAGGAGAGGGTTGCGCAAATTTATAGCGCGGGAGGCGGCGGGTTAACAGCGCGAGGTGCGGGCAGCGCAGGGTRTAGATGAGCAGGACAGGAGAGAGAGGTGGGGAGTTCGAGGGTTCGACCCGCGGGATTGCATGGCTACGTGATTGGGGTGTTCGTCCCAGTGGTGCGCGGTTTCCCGCTTTCCACATTGATCCGAGCATCCCAACTACGCAGCCAATCGCTTCGCGGAGGAAGACGGGGCAAGGATCAAGCTGGGCGTAGGGGGAGACGAAGAGTCCTGCATGGGGGAAATGCGCGCAGCAAGAAGGGAAGATGGCGCGAGGATGCAAAGCAAGAAACGGGGATGCGAGACGCGCGAAGAAATCGGAGCTTGGGCACGCGCGCAAAAATTCAAAAAGTCCCAACCGCCCCCGTTTCTTGGATTTCATACCGCGGCCGCTATTCACCCGCGGGAGTTATTAACCAAAGAAAATGAAAAAGCCGTTTCAAAAAGAAAACAAAAGCCAAAAAAAAGAAAAACCCCTTTCTATTCGCGTCCGTACTTCGGGGCTTCCGCGGGATTTTTTCTCAGGGATACGGCAAGCTGAGCGGTACGGATCTGAGCTTATCACAGGCTCTCGTTCTTACAAATAATTTGGAAGCGACGAAGCGTAGGTTGGTGAGTTAATTAGGCTGTGGTCGGAAGTCCCTGGCCTGGAAAACAGCAGTTATGGGTTCAGATTCTTCAGAAGTTTCTTTACAGGTAGGCACACCACGTTGCAGCTAAGGTAGTAGCTGTTGTTTGGCCAAGTGTCAATCAGTCCCATTAAACTGCCAGACCGCCAGTACCTACTGCGACCTCTGGCCATTAACGGTCCAGATAGCTAGCGAGTGGATGAATGCGCCTGCCGCCTGGGTCTGTATTCATGTGAAACGGCGAAAAAAGAAAATGAGCTGCAGATAGCTTTAGGTACCGGTGGTTTAAGCAGCCAGATCCAAGGGACGTCCTCGACCTCTGGAAACAGTGCACCGCAGCAAGGGAACCGACCCATAACCAGCACCAGCAAAAGGCTGGAATTGCAAGAGTCCAGCAGCCCTGGGGCTTGGACACATGCTGTTTTCCACCCGTGACGGGAACACTGCTGCCCTTGTGCGTTGGAGCAGCAACCAGTGAGCGAGGGGGAGTTGGAGTACGACCGGTGAGTGGGGGAGAGTGCTGGGCTGGGTAGTCGACGGGACTGTAGTATGAGAGAGAGAGAGAGAGAGAGAGAGAAAGAGAGATGCGAGGGAGGAAGAAGAGAGAGACTTACCTGCATGCTGAGTTGAGCGACCATAGCCGTTGGTGGCAGAGAAGACAAAGTTTAACCAAGTTCTGTGTTGACCATTGAGACTCTTATGGACTCGTAGCCGTGTTCCATGTGCGTATCATTGTGTGATGCGGAATTTATGTCCGAGTGTCCCATGCAGGGTGGTCTCATTGCAGATTGCTCTTTTTGCATCTTTTGCAGTCTTATGCATTACGGGACTAGAACCCATGTCTTCGCCACGAAAAAGTACCTATGGAACCAGTTCCCATTTGGTTATGTTCCTTCATTATCTTTCACTCCATCCTTTCATCATCCTTTCATCATCCTTTCTGTCATCTTAGCAGAGGGATTATCAGTCTGAGAGATCTTCTGTGGTCTCAGTGACAGATCCTGTCCTGATTGTGGTTTAATGGGGGGTGATTGTGGTTTAATGGGGGTTGATTGTGGGTTAATGGGACACAAGGCCTATTTACCGGCATGATTGGCAGCATGATAGATTTTGTGTCTTGAAGTGGAAGCCCGGTAGTGGGCTGGGTATCATCATTGCCCATATATTTCATGTCTTATTGTCATTGAAATTGGGCACAAGGCCCATTAGTTTTGTTTTTTTGGGGGAAAAAGGAAAGTCAGGTATGACTCAGTCACTGTATTTATTCTTTATGTTCTTTATTTCATGTATTTAATTTCTTTTTATTTTTTATTCATAGTAGTATGAAATTGATTGATGAGTTTCTTATGTTGTTTTTCTAGTGAATCAAGATGAGAGATCCACTAGAAAGAATGAATGTCGATTTATCTCGATTTATCTCTTCTATTTATTCATACATACAAAAACAACACACAGTATATAAGAAACATATATAAATCATTATTATAGAAAACTCGATTCATTTGTTTGAAACATGAACTGGAAGAAAAAAGGAAAATTGGAGATGAATTCAATTTTGGTGTAATAATTTGTAATTCTTTGTTCTAATAAAGTAGATAGTTCCGCTCCAGCAAATTTGTTCATCAATTTCATGCTCTCTCCTCATCCGGGATTACATTTTTTTTTAATTAGTTCTATCCATCTCCAGGGACCCAAGGACTCGAAAAATCAAAATAACGAAATTCTAGTGTAGCACAAATTGTGAGGCTTTACTCTCATGGAGGACAGAATTGTGCCAATACGATAGTACGGAGACGCATAGCACATCCCTGCATCGCCCTTCTGCCTCGTCCGCTCAGGCGAGGCAAGCGTCGTACTTCTCCTTTACTTGCTGCACTGAAGTCTCAGTCCCTTGCCCTTCGCCTCCTGATCGTCCTCACGCCTAGACCGCCAACTTCCTCATCTTACCCGTAATCTCGTGAAGTCCTCTCCTGCGTCTCCTCTTTTACACTCCTATCCGTCCCGTTTGCAGACGGTTCCAACCTGCCTGACAGTGTAATTGTCTCTCGAATCTCGATGTCTAAATCCTGGCAAGTACATAGGACGTGCCCATCCGCAAAGTCTATATCCTCGGAAGTACATACGCCGTACCTATCTGCAAAAAAGACCTCTCTCAGTTAGCTACTCCCTTTTCCGTAGCTGTTGTCTGTGTCCATAATATGTGTCCTAGCTGATCTAACTTCCAAATTCTGATCGCACTGCGGAATTGGCTTTGGCTGATAAACGGCGTCCGCCGCTACTTAGTCCGTACGTCCTCACTGGTGCCTTAACTGGCCCGTCCGTGCATGGTGCCTGTTCAGAAGTCCGTGTCAGGATCCCCGTTGTAGTGTGTGCCAAGTACAGCCGTCTCCTTTGCTTGCTTTTAATTTTTAAATTTATAATAAAGGTCCAAAAAACTTTTGTTGAAAGTGCCGAACCGTATGAAAGCACCCGAAAAAGGAGGGGGAGGAAAAATTACTCAACCCATAAGAACATCAGATGAAAGCACCCGAAAAAGGAGGGGGAGGAAAAAATAATAAAAACCATCGAAGATCGGTACACAGGAGTAAACTGTTGTGGGGTTGGCAGTTACGGATGCTACCGGCTGTCACCCTGCCTGGTATCGCACACCTGCAGGTCAGGAGCAGCAGCAGCCCCAGCATGTTCTCTCGTGAACATGGCTCTGGGCCTCTGGCTGCTACGGGGTTCCCCGTAAGACTATAATTAGGAGCAGCGGTAGCCTGGTAGGTAAGTAGTGTGAGGTTAAATTGAGAGAAGCGATGTCGTTTGCTTAAAAAAAATAAATAAATAAATAAATAAATAAAAAAAGGACTAATTACTAATTAGGGAATCCGATTTGAACTTTAAGAGTTGCGTGGTGTAGAGTGTTTGCTAGAGTGTTTGCACTCTTTCTAGCATTTCTGTCGTAACTTTCTAGCGTTTTGCTCGGTTGATTTATGAAAATTGATTTATGAAATTGCACATGGAAGAAGATGTGTTTGGTCTTCTAGGAGCAGCAGGGAGTTTTATGTAAGATTGCGGGCTGAGAATGTATATGCATTTATGATTTATGAAATCATTGGAAAATCATTGGAAAATCATTGGAAAATCATTGGAAATGTGTTTTCGTACAGTTGTGCTGTGCGCATCCTGAAATTAATTTTCCCCGTCAAAAAGAAAGAGACATCCGTATGTTCAGTGACGGACTGTTCCCCTCTATGCATTTCTGAGGATTTTTTTTTTTTTTTTTTTTTTTTTGTGCATCTGTGTTTTCGATTTTAAATATTTTAATCATTCTGACTCCATTATTCTATTGGGGCAATGTTCTCCAGACTGCACCTTTTGGAGGTTGGAAGCAGTCGGGACTTGGGAGAGAGGGCTCAAAATATGGCCTTGAAGAATTTCTCGAGGTACGTGTTTTTTTCTTTTCTTTTTCTTTTCTTTTTTAAATTGAGGTACGATTACGTACACCTTCTTTTTTTTTTTGATGTTCAATTACATACAATTTGAAGCAAGTCACGGCCAAATAAAAGAAAAAGGCTGCAAGAAAAGGTAAAAAGGAATGAAACATGAGGGATGATC